AAAATGGTACTCAATTATAGAAGAGAAAGTGAATAAAATTAAAACATACAGAGCTATTCTAAGAGAGAAAGACACTGGAACACTGATGGAGGCAGGAAATTTTCCTTCCTTCAGAAGGAGTGCAATACATATAGGAATCTACACAGATCAAGTTGTGATATAATTTAAGAAAGAGAGAAAGCAGATTTTGCAGAAAATATTCATGGGGGGAAGCATAAATCAAGCATTTTGTTCATGATCTCACCTTTTAAATCTCTGGGCACTTGCCATTTAAACATAACATTGCTCACAGATATTCCTCCACAGGATTTATTCCAAATTGCTTCTGTTGATTAAAAATAAAGCATCAACATGAAATACATTGGCCAGGGAAATTCAGATAAATTTGAAACTAGTTTTAACCTTTATATTTCTCACACAACAGAAACCAAGTAAAAATAAATTGTACAACCATGTTTTTTTGTGAGTTTGCACATAGAGGTGTCCATTCCTTCCTTGTGTCTATGCAACTGCAGCAAGGTGCCATCTGGCTTGTATAACAGCAACCCACTGATCTCATGCAGTGCTGTGTCAGCAGGGCACTATGCACTGCAATTGTCAACAGGATACTACTCCAGGCATTTAAAGGCATAAATTACTATATGCATTCACACTTCATTCTTATTAAACCTCTGGTTGATTCACCACTCCTCAAATCCTTAGTTCCATTATAACCTCCCACTTCCGTGTCATCTGTGATGAGAACAACAATCACAATCCCAGTCATTCTCATAATTGTTCTCCTTCTGCTGCTCTGCTTGAAACCTTTTTTTAGGAATAAGGATGAGGAAGCAGAAAGATTGCCTGAGCTCTCTCAACCTGTGCCAGCTCAAAATTCAGGATGTATGTGCCATAGACGGAGCTGTGACCAAGAATATAAAAAGGTGTCCTCCACTTTCTGTGCCCCTGCTCTCTGTTGCCCTCCGTCAAAGGGAAGTGAACAGAGAAGGGGAGAAAATAGTATGGAACCAAAAACAGATACTGTACAATACTGCACAAAGTCTGAAATCGTACAACTTGGTCCTGTTTGAATTATTACATCTTAGTCAGTGTTTTCCTACCAGATAATATCTGCCCCCTCCCCCTCAGTTATCACTTTATTGTTTCCCATTGGTACTGTATGTGATTTGGTTTGAAGTGGCTGCAGAGGACAACCCTTGTTTTGAAGCTGTCTTCCATTTGAGAACTGTCCAATCCAAGCCAGATTTAAAGATGCAGAACTCTAAGAAAGAAGACCCAAATTCTTCAGTGTGCCCAGACACAGATAATACCTGGATAGTAGACTTAGCAGGCGCACTAATTGCCAGATCACAAAAGTTTTTTGGTCCTGTTTGAATTATTACATCTTAGTCAGTGTTTTCTACAACTCTCAGCATACCTAAATTCTTGACGTGTGGGTGATCTCCTCTCAGATCATGTCTCTTCTCTGCATACTTATTACCAAGATGTCTTTGAAAGGGGACACCAATGGATAAGCTGATGTTCACCCTTTTGTCTTATCTGTAATCATCATGTAGAAACTACTGAATTCTCACTCTCAAATGCAGGAAAACTAATTGGAAATGGAATACCAAGAAAATGATAGATTGGGGGGGGGGGGAGGAGAAAAACCCTGAGGATTTCGCTTTTACTTCTCACCTGCATAAAATGATCAGAAATTTAATATCCGGTGATACATCAAGAAGCAGTTACCTACACTTCAGAACATAAAGTTAAGGGATTGTTTCAGATGTTTATCTATGCTTTTGGCTTGTCTATCATGTAATTACTTCGCACCTCACTGTTTACATGAATACAGAATTTAATCATCCAGGCATCTGTGTCTTGTTTGGAGGAGATACCAGTTACCTGTAGAAATTGCTTCAATTCAGTTTTCAGCATTCCCTCCAGAGATCAAAGAAGTAGTTTTCAAGTATTCGCGAAGGCTTTCATGGCCGGGATCTAACGGTTGTTGTGGGTTTTTCAGGCTCTTTGGCCATGTTCTGAAGGTTGTTCTTCCTAACTTTTCACCAGTCTCTGTGGCCGGCATCTTCAGAGGACAGCATTCAAAGACCCAAACATGGGCAAAGAGCCCAAAAAACCCACAACAACCAAGTAGTTTTCATCTTTTGCTTAGATGGTATTCTTAGTTATCTTCAAGTACATGGATAGCTATGAGAACATTTCTCTTTGTGCCAAAACATTCAAAGCATTAAATTTTGCTGAATAGGATTACGCTGTACCAATACCTCTCTATCTCATAAATTAACCTAGATAGTTGTAAAATGATTTGATGATCATAACCATTGTAGTGTTTTATAATCTGTAGGTCAGCCACATACTGTAAGGTAAATAAGTAATTTCTCTGGAATACAAACAATGTGGAACAGAGATATTTACACCTTTCTAGAGCAGATAACAGGGAGATTTAATAAGCCCCCAGCTCTGATTTGAGCCCATTCATACCCTGCTACAATTAACTGACTTTTGCTCCAGCATTTTGGACTTAAAATGCTGAAATATGAACAGAGCTACTTGACATCTGTTCCTGTTCCAAAAGAAGGAAGTTACAAAGTTCCATAGCAGAAGAAAATTGACTTGAAGCTTCAATGAAAGCCAAAACCTCTCTAGGAAATTCCACCAAGCCCTGGGGGAGGCTCCGATTGATCTCACCAGACACCATTTATTCTTCATCCACCAGACTAAGCAACCATTTCAGGTCCAGGCAAGGCAAGGGGAGAATGGAATATCACTATTCCACTATTGGATCACTCAGCTGATCTACCACTTCAAATTTAGAATTTTTCATAAAAATTAGTGCCACATCCCTAGTTTTGTTTGTTCCACTTGCGCTAAACTGCTCTTCTAGAGATGAGGGCTTATAATATATTTTTCCTCGTTTTCCATGAGGTGTTTCTTGTAGCAAGAAACACCTTTGCCATGAGGTGTTTCTTGTATCAGCATCCAATTTATGAATAGTCCACATAATTCTATATCTTTTACCTGGGGAACACAAACCATTTGTGTTAAAATACATTCTATTTAAGCAGTCTAACATGTCACCCATTTAATTTGCTAGCTGTGCTTTTAATTTTCTTCAATTAGAATATATTAAGGGATGCTAAGTGCTTGTATTGCAACCATAAAAAATGGAATTGTCTACATAATCTTTTTCCTACTCCTCCCTCCCTTCCTTTCCAAAACTCTCATCCATCTTCTCACCCTCTTCCCCCATCCATCTGTCCTGCTTCCCTCTCCTTCTCTTCACAACAGATGGAGTTGAGGCCACCTAGCCTCCAGCTACTTAAAATGAGATGTGTCATGTGGGTCACAATTTGTGAGACCAAGAGCTACTACTCCTGGCAAAATCTCCTCACTCTCCTAACCTGCATTTCAATATATAGACATATAAGTACAGACTTTTTAATAATTTTAATCTGTTTTATAACTATATAAATATTTCGTAACTATATAAACATGATTCAATTTTACAGTCCTTCCATGAGTTTTTCCACACTCTTACAATTAGCCCAGCAAATTTAGTTATGATGTAGCCAGTTGCTTATCATCTTATATGATCTTGAAAAAATACCAACTTCTGACTTTGACTTGGGGCCATATGCAGCAGTGGACTGCTGGCAGAAAAAGAGGAATCTGACACAATTGAGAAAGAAGAGGGGAGATGTCTCCTTCCTATTACAGCTGCCTTGCGCACCACAAAACCTTGTTTTTGCAGGCTGGGAAAACCAGGAAGATCCAGCAGGATCTGCCATTGAAGAAAGTGTGTACAGGTTTTTGGTAGGCACCGCAAGCTGCAGCAGGGAAGGGAAATAAAGAAAATTCCATCATGTTGGTTGTCCAACCACCATGACATTTGATTCAGTCCTTGGAAGGGCATCCCTTCCAATGTTATAACACCTACCCATGTTGCTTGGCTCTATTCCCTTCAAGAATCTTATAGGTAAAGGTTTCCCTTGCCATTTAGTCCAGTCATGTCCGCCTCTAGGGTGCGGTGCTCATCCCCATTTCCAAGCCATAGAGCCAGCATTTGTCTGAAGACAATTTCCGTGGTCACGTGGCCAGCATGACTAGACATGGAACGCTGTTACCTTCCCACCGAGGTGGTACCTATTTATCTACTCGCATTTTCATGCTTTCGAACTGCTAGGTTGGCAGGAGCTGGGCCAAGTGACAGGAGCTCACTCCGTCACGTGGATTCAATATTAAGACTGCTGGTCTTCTGACCTTGCAGTATAGAGGCTTCTGTGGTTTAACCCACAGCGCCACCATGTCCCAAGAATCTCATACTACTGTCCAAATAAAGCCACTTGCAACTTTCTTGTCTAATGAAGATAAAACAACATGCAGATCTTTTTGACTGGAGAGGCAAATATAAATATGTTAAATAAGTAAATATTTAGTAGTAAATAATGTGAACACAAACATACAACATCATAAATTGAAAGTCAAATATTCATTACTATTGGCTGCTAATCATGGGTTGGTAGATTGGATTCTAAAATCCCAGATGCTGACTTGTGCTCATGTAAAGTGTGCTTGCCGATTAAAAGGGCGTGTGGCATTTTCTATTCCTAGGGGTCAATTTTCATTACCCCACCCCTTCTCCCTGAAATCCTAAAAATCAGAAGGCTGGGGAGGCTGCAAAACAATATGCGTATTGGTGCAGATAAATTGAGAGAAGGAGGAACTGTGAAAAACCATTGTTCCTCTCCTGCCATCTATTGGTGAGAGGCTCCACTGGGTTAAAATACTTTTGGGCCATTTTTGCTTCAATACTTTAATGACTGTCATGAATGACAATTAAATAGAGTACATATTGTCCGCTGTCCAGTGCCTTGTATCAGAAATCAAATATTTGGCAGATATTCAGCTTCACTGTGAAGAAATGAAATTCTAGTGCCTTCATGGTGCAATTTCACTGCTGCTCTGCTGGACAGCCAGTGTTGGTGCTTCTTTTGTTTCTAGTCAGTCTTGTCCATCCAGTCCAGCAAGATGTCAAGCTCCCCAAGTGCTTTCAATGCTGCAGGATGAGATTCCATCTGGAAAGGAACGAGAAAAGTTTGGCTTTCAAAGCCACCACCATTTTGGATACTGAATGCTATGTAGTCTTCAGTAGGAATATGTATGAGGCCCTCCAGATATTGTTGCAATGCAATTTACGTTATCCTTCACTATTGGCTATGCTAACTAAAGGTAAAAGGAGTTGCAGTCATAGATCAAAGCTTGTAAGAGCTCATTTTCAAACTATAACTCTCAAACTCTACCATGTGGCCATTATGCCTGGCGGCTTCTGGGAACTGAAACAAACAAACAACCTTTACAAGGTCTGAGTCCACCATCATGCCCATTCCACCATCATGCCCATTCTGCAGTGTTTCCACTACTGCCTCTGCTTGCTGAGATCCATAGAACAGAAAATCCTGCAAATTTTTACTTTACTATCTGTAAAGTTTTCATTCACAGGATAATTCCCTCACCCAAGTCATGCTTCCACATTGACTCCTCCCCAATGTATACACATACATATATGCATGCAAAATATGTCAGAATCGGCTCTCCCAGCATCTTAGTTTGTATGTTAGTAATTTATGCAACTGCTTCAAAGCTCAAATCAGAACACTAAGGATCATTTATTTTTAAAAATCATTTAAATAAATATTTTTAAAAGTGTGAAAGTACATGTCTTCATAGGCATGCATTTTGACTCATAAGTGGCTATAATATTTACATGAAAAAGAGTAGCATCAGCAAGTACAAAATTCCCCAAAACCATTTTTAAAATCCCACACAGACAAGAAAGAGAAGTTGTTCTGTAATGCTAAAACCCTACATTCAATTTGAAAGCCTTATACCATTTGACCAGGGAGTGTCCAGAATTTCAAAACTACATGTATTCTCTGTTACAACGTTGTGGTTCAAGTCTTGTACATGCTTCAAAAATTAAGTATATATTCACATACAATTCAGCCAGACAGTACGTAATTTCATTTCTTCCTTTTCGTTTTCAGGTTTCCCCTCAGTTAAACTATTTGCAGAATGATTTAACATGTACAGAGGAGCATATCTTACCATGTGACAGTTACACAGTTAAATGACCAAGAGATGACTCTGTTGTATGCTCGAAGGCTGACTCTGTTGTTCTACTATTTTATTTTCATAATTTCTATTGTTAATATTCATAATTCCTTTACTTGGAAACCCTTTCAATTCTGTCTGTGCTCTGAGTGGCTAGTCGAGGTTGGAAGATCCTTGAATAACTTAAAACAGACATTACATTATCTTCAATTACTTAATCTTGACAAGCAATTACTTACTTGAGTAAAGACGTGAGTAGGGGAGTGTGTTAGCCTTACTCATCATCATTCTCCATGTGTGAAGAGCAAGAGTCAGAAAAGGAGAGCCTTCTCAGTTTTTTTAGGGTTCTGGACCATGTGGAGAGCCTCCATGCGTACTAGAAACACTGCTTTGCACATGAGGCAGAAAAGCTGAGGCCAGCAAATTGTTTCTCCTTATGTGCTTAGTTTAATAGAGCTAGTGTGTAATCTGATATTTAGACTTGGATGGCTTCAGCCATAAGGGCCCCCTCTCATTGATGGGCTCTCTCTCATGTGAGAGGGCCCCTTGGTGAGTGCTGACTTGCAATATAACAGAGTTAAATTCTCCTCTCATGCTTTTTAAAACTGTAAACAGTGGCAAAGTCTCTATGAATGGAGCTGTCTGGCATCTACCATCTTATTTTCCCCACAGTACACCAGGGCAAAGCATTTTGAGAAAACAAAATTATTCTCGGCAGCACCCAAGTTGCAGTTACTGGAGTTAAATGTTGCTGGAGGTATGAGATAAGAGGAGCAAGTTGCCTGCCGGGACACAACAGTGCAGGAAGTAAAACAAGGATACCAGGTGCTATAGCTAAGCCTGCATGCAAGGAATATCCTGTGGCCAACTGGCTGATAAACTACCTTCATACACTGTATTCCAAAGTCTAGTCAGCTTTTCTCCACCACCCCTCTTGCTCCATAGCATTCACATGCCCTCAAATGTTGCAAACCACAGTTGAAGTTTTGTTTGCCTTTGTAGATTGGATACCTTTGGCTGTTAAAGTGCATGTTGGTGCAATCAAAGTTTCTCAGCCGCCAGCCACAGATTGGAGAAGACTGTGCTTGTTTCTCTGAACAACCTGAGAAGACCACGAGACTCTTTCCAAAGTATTGTTTCCTTTGACTGACAGGAATGGGTTCCAGATCAACTTGATTCCACTTGTCAACAAAAATCCATCTCTTGCAGCCACCTCAAGAGATCTGTGTTTCCAGTAACTAAATTACAAAATGAAAACACATTTACCTGCTGAAATTGATTCAGGATTTGTTCATATCTGTAATTGGCTTCCTTCTCACAGGGACATGTTGTGACGGTATTCTGGAAAAAAAACATTAAGTAAATTAATAAATTAAATAAATGATGCTAAGCCATAATTTCACTGAGTTCTCATTGAGAAGCTTGGAAGCTGAGCCAGCTTCATAGTACTGCTGAGGTGAACAGACAAAGTAAACACAGAATGATTGCAGGGACTTTTATTCTATACCTATGTGAAAATGAAAAACATACAATGATGTCAGTTCAGTGAAATTTGACAAGCAAATAAACAGCAGAAGTTGGCTAGTTTACAATCAGTTGTTTATTACTATCCATTCATTTAATTATTTTCAAGTGTTGTACATAACTATTTGGTTGACATATGCCATGTGTGAAGGAAGGGGAGGTACGAATAGGAACAAACACAAAAGAGCTTCACAAAAATGAGGAGCGGTTGTCACTTTACTGAATAAAACCAATTTTAAATCATGTGCATGAATTCAGATTTCTCAAATGCATACTATTAAGCCAGGAATTCTAGACTCGTTGCCTTTATTTTTCTTCCAGTTCTGGAATAATTTCTTGTTGAAGGAGTTGACAGAAACCTTAATATATAGTGTGGTGACATCCAAAGGTCATTGGCCAGCTGATAGCTGAACAGCATCCAAACTAGAGATGGGCAGAAAGCACTTTGTGCCAGGTCATCTTAAGTCATTGACTTAAGTCATTGGCCACCTCAAGTGCTGCACATTGCCTATCCCCACTCTCACTTGCCAGATCTTCACATGACCGTCTAGTTGTAGCAGGAGCATAAAGTTTCCTTCTCCACCTCCTCTAGCAGCTGCCCACTCATAGGTAGTGCTGGAGTATCCCTGCCCCATCTCCTCATCTGAGTGGGCAGTTGCTGGAGGAGGCAGAAAAGGGATCCTGTGCTCCTGCCACGACTGGAAGATTGTGTGATGGAGAAGGAACAAGCCGTGCATGCTGGCTGGTAAATGAGTGAGCTGGCGTGTGTGGGTGGATAGGAACTTAAGTCTTAATGACTTAAGATGACCTGGCATGAAGTGTTTCATGCCCATCTCTAATAGGAACCATTCTAGCCTTTTCAGACATATGCCTGACCCTGAGTATTTTGCTGCTTGAGGCAAAGGAATGGACAGTATTTTTGCCTTGACTTCCACCACAGTTCCATATATAGACCCTGACTGGACTGGCAATTGAATCTTGTGTCAGCATTGTTGATAGACAGTATCTTCACTGCCCCAAGGACCAACAAGTTAGTTTAAAAGGTATGGGGCAAGCTCAGTGGCACATACAGCTCCATCCTTCATTGCTTGAGTATTTACTTTCCACCAAAGCTAATAAATAATCTGATATAATAGCTTGGAAAAAACTAATTATTGTCCACAAGCTTGGAAAATGTGTTTGCTTATATTTGGAACTCACAGAAAGTGTTAACTCCTTCTTGATGCTGAGGAAATTGTTGGCAATCCGGCTGACTCTCCTTTGGTGAAAATTGTTTCCTTCCCTACATTGATTGAAGACTTTCACCAAGTAGAATTTGAGCAAGTTATGAAAGAAGCAACATGTGTCTTCAGACTGAAACAAACCACGATTTATTTCAGTAAGCAATATTATCCCTATAATACGGTTCAAACACAGACATGATAGTATTGTTCAGCTGTTTTATTGGCTCAGTTCTCCAATAAAGTATATTATGCCTACTTAAACACCACAGGATGTCAAATACTGTCAAATAAGACATCCACTGTGGGTCATGTGGCAAATAGTAAATTCCATGGCATGTCAGCTATCACTTGTAGTCAAATATCAAATGCTGAAATTAGTGCAGTCAAATACTGGCTGAAATACGACAGTGAGCCACATCTAGAGTAAGTAAATTCAGTAAATTCCTTTGATTGAATGGACCTACTTTAGTTGTGAATTACTACCGGTTTTCAGCCACTGTGTGTCACATCTGGCAAGTATTTGAGCATTCAGAGAATATGCAAAAATATTCAACCTCTCTTAACCACAAAGGAATATTTCTTAGGAGTGGGCAAAAGCAGTTTTTGTAGACCATTTGCTTACAAATCTAATCTCAATTATGATTATGGACTACATGCTAATTTTCTTTCTACTCGTGTAATAAGGGAGAACAATTATATTCTAGAGCCCACATATGTGGGTGAATAATCAGAGAAACATACAAGGTACTAATATGTAGCCACAGTGGCACATGCCTTAACTAATTCCCATTCAGATTACTGTATGCAGTCTATAGGGCTGTCAAGTAGGGGAACTGTTGAGAAACTACAGCCACTGCGACCATTCTGCAGCCAGGTTGCTTCAGTGTGTGTGTGTGTTTTAACAGACTATATTACACTGGTGTTAAATCAGTAACGTTACCTTTGCTTTGCTTCTTGATACAATTCAAGTTGCTTGTTATTAGCTATAGAACTCTAAGTTCAGTGGTGCAGTGAAACCTGTGGCTCACAGGTTTGAAGTCCTAGGACTTTATGAGTAACTGGGTTATGGCATCACCTGCCACAACCTCAGGCTTTCCTGTACCTTCTAAACTTAACTACAGTCTTCACAGTGGTTCAAAGAAAAATTGATTCTTCTAGGATCAGTATACTATTGCAAAATATTCTTGCTTTAATGTAAAATATTTGAAAATAGTTTGGTCTTGAATAGGAAATTAAGAGCCATTCATTTTAGAAAATACCTGCTCTTCATTTGTTGATATGAACTGATCCAGTGGCCTGCATTTTTGGACTCTTTCTGTGGGGAAGCCGACCAAAGGGTCTGTCATGAAAAAGCTCTGCATTTTCCAAATTTCCATTGCATCATTGCCTAAATTGCTTAGATGTCCATGGCAGCCTACAGACATTTATGATCTTCTTCTAAGACTTGGGTGCCAACTCCCATATGCTAGAGGCAAGTGAGAGAGAGACATTTTGTTGATGGCATTCCCATTCCCTCCTTTAGTTTGGAATTCTTTAATTTCACTTCAAACAAATGGTGATATATATTTTATCCTGCTAAGGCTTTGTGGGGTAAACATTTTGAGTCCCCTCTATGTCTCCCAGAAGGGAGTCTATGTTTGAGAGGGTTGCATGCCCTGCCATTTATGGACCCTTGGGAAAGCTGTATGGTTCCAGAGCACCTTGAAAAAGATGGACTTGTAAATCACTTCTGAATACTTTATATCTAGAAAACCCTGGGAGGGCTGCCATAAGTTGGTATCTACTTGATGACATATTATTAATTAAGGCTTTTAGTGTTTTTAGGGTTGAGAATTTTTGTGCTCTCTTGCAATTTTAAAAAGAATTCCATTTTTAACTGGTTTTTGTTATGTAAATTTGTCTTATTGTTCCATTGTGGTATATTATCTGAGGTGGTTTAAAAATACTTATAAAACTGACAAATTATAAAAAGGAGTGATAAAAAGACTTTGCATAAATACAACAGTCTATGACAGTCTCATTAAGAAGGAAGCAGAAAGAAAAAAATAAATTGGATTAAGAAGGATTTTCAGTGCAATCCTATGCATGTTTTCTGCCAATGGTAGTTTAATGAGTTTAGCCATACATATAGCAAACAAAGAGAAATACAATTTTATCAGATTGCAGCATCAGATTGTAGAAATCCAGAAAGAACCTCAGGAATGGTTGCATATTGAGTTGGAACATAGAGTTTTCTTCCCGATATAAAAGAAAATAAATTCTGACTGTTTAAGAGAGGCAAACAGACACATCAACAACAATGGCTTTTAATATCAGCACTAGAATTGCACTGCATGTTCCATCTAAAATGCAGGTTCTGGACAAGGAAAAACATGAACTTTCTTAAGCAAGAAATCACTATATGTAAGCTGTGCATTCTGAACAGCAAAGTTTTAGAGGGGAAATTGGAGATGTATGTCATATCAGCACAACATACACACACACACACAAACGAGGGGGTTTAATCACTGATTGACACAAGGGAGATACCTTGGTATCTTGAAGAAAGTATGATTGTAAGAATCGGATGCTTGTGTACTGGTCTTGAATCTGCTGAAGACAGAGAAAAAAACACCCAAATTTTGATACCAGATTTGTTTTTACTGTTCCATATTAATTCATAAACTTTAAATATATTGTAGAGATGTAACTTTAGTTTAGCTTAACGCTTACATTTAGCTGTCCTAAACTTACCCGAATTCCCTGCAACCACCACCACCATCAATACTTACTGTCATTTCTTTGATGTCTCCAAATCCCTTGCGTATTTCATACATATCCACAGAGACCGTGCAGGGCCCAAAGTTGAGCTTTTTAGAGCTACTGGAGGAGACCCAGGAGAGCAGGAAAGCTGTGTACAGAAGAAAGGGGGAGCAGCCACTCTCCATCTCAGAAAAAGATCCAGCCAGCTTGTTGCTTTATGCCGTCGAGTCAGAACTGACTTACAGCAACCCCAATAGGACTTTCAAGAGAAGTGGGGTATTTCAGGAGTGGTTTTTATTGTTCCACCTCTCCCAGTGAGCTTCCATGGCCAAGCAGGGAATTGAACCCAGGTCTCCTGAGTCTTACTCTGTCACTACGCCACACTGAGTTCCACATCCAACCAGGAGAGCAGGAAAGCTGTGTACAGAAGAAAGGGGGAGCAGCCACTCTCCATCTCAGAAAAAGATCCAGCCAGCTTGTTGCTTTATGCCGTTGCGTCAGAACTGACTTATAGCAACCCCAATAGAACTTTCAAGAGAAGTGGGGTATTTCAGGAGTGGTTTTTATTGTTCCACCTCTCCCAGTGAGCTTCCATGGCCAAGCAGGGAATTGAACCCAGGTCTCCTGAGTCTTACTCTGTCACTACGCCACACTGAGTTCCACATCCAACCAGGAGAACTGTTAATAAGAAATAAAAGATCCATGAGACAGCCTTACTTTGCACAGGGACTTGCTGGTTTTGCAATAGGGCTGCAAAATACTTGTTGGACACTGAAGCACATCTGCCTGCCCAATGGTATATAAGCAGTAGCATTTTCTGTGAGAATTGTGCTTGAATATAAGACAAACTGCTTGCACTGTGTGTACATGTTCCCATGTCTTGATCCAGTGGGCGTAATTCACTCCCTTGAAAGCTGGCCAGGTCTAAATCCTTATTCAGCTACACTTTGTAATGGATGACCTGTCACTACCCCTGAGTATAAACTACCACAAAAAGTGTGACCTTTTTATTGCTTCTCTGGATGCCTTGTCAGAGAAGTGGCATAAAAAGAAATGCAAGCATAATGTCTCAAGAACTGATATGCTGTCTACTGTGCTCATTTAGAAACATGCCGTGGCCCTTCTGTCTCTGCTATTGAAAGCGACACCACTCTTTGAGTGTTTAAATTAACCCCAGAACTGAACGTTTCTAGTTATTCAACCTAAGAGTCAGCTCCTTTTAGAACAGAAAGCAAGGCTCATTGAGAGAAGAGCTGTAACTCAGCAGCTGTGAATATGCTGTGCATGAAGAAAGGCATAGGTACATTCTCAGATCTTTCTAGGCAGAATTGGAAAAAAAAACTCTCCTCTCAAAACCTTGAGTGTAGCATATATAGAAGCCAGATGTGCCAATGATCTTACTCAAGAAGCTTCTTCTCTCCTATGTGCATGTTTCTGATTTTGTACCACTACGGTTCTTCGTGAATCCCACAGGGATGGAAACCGTGTTCACAAATTATTTGCACATGCAGCAGTCACAAACAGAAAGAATTGACTCAACCCCAGAATCTATGCCTGGAGTTGTGTTGTTGGAAACCCAAAACACAAGAGCTTCCATTATAGAAAATGCAACATGTCTGGGAGCAGGACTTGTCTGGCCTTATAGTGTCAGAGTGGGGCCAATGGAACTACGCAGCTTCTTGTTCTGTGCCTATGTCACACATACCAATCAACAAAATTAGTCTCACACTGCAACGTGTATTTAAAGGTAACCAGACCAACAATAACCCACAGTTATAAGAAAGGGGGCAGCAGATGAATAGAAGACAGACTGAAAAACAGGAGCACCAAAAAATCCGACCCTATAATATGGAAACTACAATGAATGACTTATGGTATGTTGTGAGGTGACTGTTCGCAGAGTAATTATCCAAGAAAGGTCCCACTAAAGAAGAATGTACTGTATCTATAATCCTTAGGAAATGTTTTGAGGTGTGCAGCATTCATGAATCATTGTCTGTATTCCAAAGCCATTTGGGGCAAGGTCCTTTCAACATAATTAATTACAGTGGGGTCTTGACTTGAGAACTTAATCCGTATTGGAAGGCGGTTCTCAAGTCAAAAAGTTCTCAGGTCAAATCTGCATTTCCCATAGGAATGCATTGAGAACCATTTGATCCGTATCTGCTCTTTTCCGTCCATAGAAACTAATGGGAAGCTGCTATTCTGCCTTCTTTTCAACATAATTAATTAATAAAAAATAAAAAAATACTCTTTAATTAAGCACTCTAAAGGCTTGACTATTTTAATCTAACTAGTATCCCTCCATGCATACTGCAGGATCTTACAGACATACTGTCTTTTTCCTCCAATGTATTAGCTCATATAATTTATGGGTTCTCACTTAAAAGTAATGTGAAAAGAGACTAAAGAAATCTCTTACCTTCAGAGGTGTTCCTTTCTGATCTGTAATGAAACTTACCTAGCCCTGAGACTGTCTCCCATTTATATATAGTGATAACGAAAGATAATGAAATGTCAGTTCATCCTTGTTGGATTTCCTTCTTGATTAGGTTCAGGCTTAGTCAGCTAAAACACATTTACTAAAATATTATACACCTTCTCAGTAAGATGACAGGTGTATAGCAAAGCTGCTGCTTGTAAATGTCATATATGTCCATGAGAAATATTTGCCAAATATATGCACAGGATTCTTGTGACAATATTCTTTGGTAGTTTCCCCAGAAAGTGCTTACTGTATATTGAAGGATGGGAGAAAAACAGTTATTATATATTAACAAGTTAGATCCCAATGGATTTTAGTTAAGATTCAGCATTTGGCTAAAGTTATACTATTCATCTTGATTTGGGTAAGTTATGGTGCTCTTCATTTGCTAATTCTGCCTCAGGCAGCCACACATTCTGGGCCATAAAAAGCACAGTGGGGAATGAAATTCCCAAACTCTGGCTCCACAGCTAGATACCTAAACCACTGAGCTTCCTCCTATGTGATATAGGAGGACATTTCTGTTCTGAGATATAGGGACATCCTGAATTTTTATCATTGGTCCTAAAAGTGTTTGAAATAGGATTTCTATGACTTCTTTTTGAAATATCCCCTGTCACAGCAGCTCGAGGTGCAAAGGTTTCAGTGCTAATGCTCCACTTGTTACCTCAGTACCGGAAAAGGTTTGCCAGTTATTGCTGTAATTAATTACAAAGGAGCAGGGCAAAACAGGCTGGCATCCCTGGGCAAATATCAAGATGCATTTGTTGGTAAAACAGATTTGTTCTGTTTGAAAGGGTCAAAACTGGTGGGGATATCTTATCTCTCTGCAATTTGGCTACCAGGCTTTGCAAAATGGTGCAGCCAGGTTAAACATTAGCAGATTGAAACATGAATTGCTCAAAACTGGCATGTGAAAGAGACCTTGCCATACTGTTCTGGCTCTCAGGGCAAGGAACAACCATGTCTCATGCAATAGTAGCATTGCTTTGTTATGCTAATTATTTGTACCGCCATAGATTCGGTGTAGGAGTTTATTGCTGCAAGGTTTAAGCAGTACTGGGAAATGTACATGGCTTATAATCTTGTAGTTTATTTATTGCTGCTTTGTGGAACTATTGTGAAAGCCTACCTCACACATTCTTACTTTCTCACCTGAACCTGAACACCTCATGTCTTGTACCAGCTGTGAGCAGTTCCCGCACTGTATAGTCTGCATATACCCAGCTCAGCACTGAAGGATTTAGGATTAAGTCTACAAATCTACCCTGATAAAAACCTCCAATAGGGCAGCTAATGCTAATGTTGCAACAAAAACTACATGATGCCCTCTGATACCTACAAGGCTATCTGATGATCCAGACTCTTGTTTCCTAAAACTAAGCAATGCCAGACGGAGGCTTTTCTGGAATTCTGTATGCAAACGCACACAACATCTCTTCTTGTTGCTTATATAAGTCTTCATATAGATTATGGTGTTTTCAATTTAATTTGGCCTCTGAAAGCAATGTTCTTGCATTCAACGCAGAAATGGGTGAGCATTTAGCATATTTCATTCTCCAGCCCAACAACATATACTTTCCTTATTATGAAAAAAATATTATCTTTATTAAGTTAAAGAGAGAGAGAGAGAGAGCGAAACATAGGCTGTGGTAGATCTTATAACCTAAGCTCTTCCCTTGCCCTGAGTATGTATGTTCAGGATTGGTTGCAATTTGAGGCAAAAAAAGACTTCACCTCATATACCTTGGGATTCAAAGCAAAGACCGTGATTTGTGTGGAACAGTCAAAGCATGTGGGGATGGCTCTGTAATACTATGAGTGGGAAGGATCTTGGAATTGTTGTGGATCAAAGGCGGAATATGAGCCAACAGTGTGATGTCAGCAAATGTGATTTTAGGATGCATTAACAGAAGTAGAGTCTCCCAATCCCATGAGGTATTAGTTCCCCTCTGTTTGGCACTGCTTAGGTGTTATCTTGAGTACTGTATCCATTTCTGGACACCACACTTTAGGAAGGATGCCGATAAACAGGAGCAAGTTCAGAGGAGAGTAACAAGGATGATAGGAAACTGGAAACCAAGCCCTGTGAGGAAAGACTGAAAGAAATCAGCATATTTAGCTTTGAGAAAAGAAGACCGAGTGGAGATATGATAGCACTCTTCAAATACTTGAAAGGTAGTCATACAGAGGAGGGGCAGGATCTGCTCTTGATCATCCCAGAGCGAAAGACACATAATAATGGGTTCAAGCTACAGAAAGCCAGATTTAGTCTGAATAGCAGGGAAAAACATCCTAACTGTTAGAGCAGTAAGACAGTGGAACCAATTACCTTGGGAGGTGGTGAGCGCTCCAACGCTGGAGGCATTCAAGAGAAAAATGAACAACCATTTGTCAGATCTGCTTGGATTTGGATTCCTGCACTGAACAGGGGGTTGGCATCAATGGCCTCATAGGCCCCTTCCAACTCAAATGTTCTTTAATTTTATGATTCTTTTCAATTCTCACTTCCAATGGCCATACATATAAACATGATGGCTCTCGGTTGGGGAGGGGCACTCTGCCCTGGAGTTTTGCTCCACCTCATATTCACCCTGGAAATAAACAAATGCCTGATTCAATCCATATTTACACATTTGTCCAAAGACAGCATACACCCCTAGTAAGAAGATGAGGGTGAGCTGGAAGAGAATAGAGCAA